TATCTACAGGTCTACAGATTTAAAAGACATAAAATGGTGTAATGGTACTTCTTCAGGTCCCTAAAATATGGTTTTGAGAAATCAGTTATAATATAAGCCCCTCAAGATGCTTTATCGAAGCTTCCGGAGGTTTTTCCCTAAATCCCCTCACCAGGTCTCTACCCCTGGTCTCTCAAAGTCCATATTTTAAAATTTATTATTATCATGAAATGCGCTTTTGCCAGCCCATCTAACCGCTTATTTTTTTTTATAACTTTGGTACGAAATTTGTGGAAATTATTAGCAACAATTTGCTATGAACAATTTTATCTGTAGGCCTACATATATGTTTTTAAAACATCTTAATTCAGTAAAAAACTAATTATCAGTTCCAGTTATTGGAGATGGATCCATTGTGAACAATTAAATGTTGTCTGTACGCATACAGACAACACCCAAATGAATAAAAAAAAAAAATAGAATAGAAATCCATTTATAAGGCGCTCAAAATGCTAATTTGACGGAGCTTCTGGGGGCTTCGCCCCAACCCCGCGGGTCCCGGGCCCCTCAGCCTAAGGTCCATTTCGCTCGCAAAACGCGCCTCCCTATCGAAAATCCTCATTGCGATCAGAGGGAGGGATCGAGAGTATCTACCTGACAATTTTTTCGAATCAATGGCAGAGGGCAAGTAGTGGGTTAACATGAAGTCCCAAGGCCCTGGTTGAGGCTTCTTGGGGCCTGCAACCCTGGTGGCTGGGTCAGGTTTTAGACCACCAGTAAGGTACTGGTTTAAAGTGTATTTTGATGTTTTTCTTTACACATTTTGCTCTTTTTTGTTTTTGTTGGTGCGGAGATATAAGGATCCCATCACTATGACCTTTCATCCTGACCTCCTGACCTTTCGCCACATTTTGAAAATGTGTTACCAAGCTAAAAATGATCATTGGACTACCCTGAACCAATTTCTGAAGTCAAATTCTCTGTACCTCAAAGTGCATACAAAACCTGGTTTGGCTCCTAGGGCAAAATGCTCGTTTGGATATTCTCATGATGCTTGGAATACATCTTGATCGGGGAAGCAACCTCGTGGTTTACAGATTTTAGGCAAAATTTCCAAAATTTAGAACTTAACTTTGAATATAAGCTTGTACTGTGACGGTCCCGGTGACATTGTGTTTTCTTAATTATTTATCGTAGTATAAAGTCACAAATTGGTGGCCTTATAATTTACAGTAACACATTATTCCTATTCGTAATTTTGTTGCTAATAATTCGTCACCGTTTTCACGAAGAGACAAAGACTTAAATTTCGACGAAAACAAAATTTTGAGAAAAACGCGTTTGAAGTGGTCTACTTCACAAATCTGTAAATTTCACTATCAAGGTAACGGAATTTTGAATATTTTTTTTACATATGTTTAAAGATAAAGCATTAAACAATCCAAATGTTTAATTTATTTTTTCCCTAACTTTAATCAACCTGTAAATTAGCGTGAAAAGTTTGTGCCTGTTCGTGAACACGATCAGAATAAACGCAGCATATGTTTTCTACACATAGAGTGAAGTTTGTGTCTCTTCGTGAAAACGGTACGCGCTGTACGCGCACCCGTTTAAGGCACAAACTGTATTTTAGCAAAGAAAATAAATAGCAGAAGATAGGGCAGCTTCCCAATATAGTGGAACATCCGTTCTAAATGCATTGTGGGTACACGGAGCAAAATTTTACCCCGTCCGCCCGGCGGCGCTATATATCAATAAAAAAGGCGCCGCTCAGGTTTGTTTGTTTCCTGTAGTTTCTCCACTTAGTCAAATGGTCAAATTTTACCCCATCCACGGGAGGGCGGATTTTCCATCAATTTTAATGCAAATACGCGAAACATATCATTCTTCTGCTATTTAAGTTCTTTGATTTTAGCTATGTGTTAACTATTGTAGTCAAGGGTGAAAACAGGCCTGCAATCTCGGCTTATTTTGTTTTAATCATTATGTTTTTTTACGAATAATTTGATTTACGAAACATTTGATGCACGTGTATAGACCTATCCCAAGTTATACTACAAGAAGGGTACCGGTATGCCTAAGGTAAACCAGGGAAATCTAATTTTTACATCAAGCCCTAGCCAAGATAGGCCTTACCTAGCGATCACAACGATTGGAACGCCGCATTCGCGTCTTCTAACAACCTAAAGAAAGTTTGTCTGTTCGTGAAAACGAAAAATCCGTTTTTTTTTCGGTTTGTGCGAAACGGCTAATTAGCTTAATTAGCTAATTAATGTAGTTCCACTCTTAAAAATTAAATAAAAAGGTAAAGTTCGATGAACATAATAAAATGTCAAAGAAAAAAATTGAAAAAATATGATTTTTATTTATAATATTTTTATATAATAAGTTTGTGTCACTTCGAAAAAAACGGTGACGAATTCACAAACACATGGATTATGAAAACCTGGATTTCGCCATGATGGGAGGATAGTATTGTAATCTAATACGGTGTTTTTTTTTTGTTTGTTTGTTTTTTTTTTAAAGAATATAAGATGGAAAAAGGGATTTCAAAACAATTTAGTTGGTTACATTGCATAACCTACTCTTTTTTCTCGTTGTTTTATTAAAAAAAAAAAAAATAGGTTTTGGAAGTTAATTTCGACATTAAAAAAAATGCATGAAGTCATATTACGGTAGCTTGATTCCTATCGAATAACTAATAAAAATCCACCAAAATTTGTCAAATATCCGTAGCTTCCAGGGAGAAAACCGAAGTGAAGCCCCCTAGCCCCAGCGAGCCGATAACTCCGCTGCTGGAGATGGTAATTACTTAACAGCCTATACGAAGATTAATTATTTGTTTATATGAATATTTGCTTTCGCCATTTTCGCGAACGATGTCAATTTCTTTTCCCCAAACACTATCTTAATTCGCCGTTGACGTGAGTCTTTAGCTTTAGCCCTGTTTTTTGAGAGGCTTAACATTATGCGCATTAATAATAGATCAGGCCCTAAATATTATCATTCAAATCTGATTAATTTTATAATAAATTTTATACAACAGAAATCCATCGCTTACCGACTACTGCAGGTCCTACCAGTGGCGGATGTAAGGCGTGAATAATAGGGTGGCTAGCCACCCCCTTCGGTGACCTCCAAAAAAAAAATATGGTCACTCGTCTTGTGTGTGGGTGTGTGTGTGCGTGCGTGCTTCTCATGTATACATGTTACACGTAAAACATACACTTTCCCTTTCTATTTCAAGCTTAACTTCTTTTCAGATGTCATCCAAGAGCGTCTAGATGTCTACTAATTCCAAAAAATCTTTAATAGAAGGGGATGCCTCTTCAAAACTCATGATCAAAGGGGACACGTCCCCGAATATTGTGGAAGGGAGGGGATGGTTCCCTCACTTTCTGCCCGCAATGTCATAATTTCATAAGTCAAGATGCCTGAAAATTGGTGAAATGAACTGAATAAATAACCCAGGTTTTAACAAATGTGTGCTGTACAACCGGTACTTTATCTCTTCCCACAAACATCTGAATTAGGCCTACATACTTAAATACACAACTCGAGTGCGCGTGCCTTTAATATAGTTTTGAGAAGTATGAGAAAAAGCGTGTAATGGTAAATAAGATTGCTTTTCAGCACATGGTAAAGCAAATTTAAAATACATCAAAGACAATTGAGTTTTATTTTAAATGGAACATCACAGCGATTAATTTGATCAATGGTAATGAATTTTATTATAAGAATATCATTTCCGGCAATCTTGGGGTACTATTTCCTCAAATGTTCCCACCTCAGCCCTTAACTATGGTGGACAGGGAACAGACTAGAGGCCTGTTTATACTTCAACGATAACGATGATGATTAAAAAAAGCTAAAAAGCGAATGTTTATGTAGAAAATAAAAGAAACAAGAGAAACAAGAGAAATATTTACACTAGAACGAGTCGATAACGATTTATCAGTTATGAGATAACAACATACTTTGACAAATCAATTCAGGTGACGTCGTAATCATGGGAAAACGATAAAATCGTTGCTACTACTACGATTTTAATATTTGTCAATGGTTATGACGTCATTTGATTTGATTTGTTAAAATATTTTGTTATCGAATACACAATAAATCTTTATCGAATTGTTATAGGGTAAAAAACTTCTCTTATTTCTTTTATTTCTATATGAACAATTACTTTTTAGCTTTGTTATCGTTATCGTTATCGTTGAAGTATAAACAGGCCTTAATGGCTTGAAGTAGGTAGGCTTAAATTAAAAACATTAAAGACAATGACGCTTTATTTTGATTGCCGTTTATAATGGTGATGTGATGACGAATTTTACTATATAAAAGTGTCATTTTCGGT